AAAAAAAAAAAAAAAAAAAAAAAAAAAAAAAAAAAGATTGAGGCCAGTCACTAGGCTACATAGTGATTTCAGGAGCAGCAAAAATCAAAACCAACCAACCAATGAACCAATCAATCAAACAAAAGGAATGCACTTAGTTCCTAAGAATAATTCACTGTCTTTAGCCCCAACTTTATGAAAAGAACTCTTTGGGCTCTTGGCAGCACCCCAAGTCTTTGAAACTGTTAGCCTTTAGTGGGTACCTATTGTGTGTCAGATATAGGGCTAGACTCTTAAGTCCCATCCCTCCCCTCCCCTCCCCTCTCCTCTCCCCACCTCCTTTGAGGTAGGGTCTTGCTATGTAGTCCAGGCTGGCCTTGAACTCATTATATAGGCTGGCCTTGAACTCATGGTGGTTTTCTTGCCTCAGCCTCCTGAGTGCTGGGATTACAGCTGTGTGCCACCATACCCATGGGTTCTCTGCCAAAGACACTCAAGAGAAATTTATAAATGTACTTATAATCCCCTTTCCTACTCAGTGGAGATTATTGTCTGGCGTTACGGGGAAAGAAATGAGCTCATCCCCTCATCCATGCAGTGGGCACGTTTTTGTTTTTGTTTTTGGTGCCAGGAATCGAACTTAGGACCTTGCACTTACAAGGCAGACACTGTGCCACTGAGCTATCTCCCCAGCTCAGGGCAGGGTTAATATGTGTTAGCAAGCACAAGGTGCTGGGCATACACAACCCACTCGAGACCAGTGTGTCCTCTGCCTTCCTTCAAGGAGCTTGCTGTCTAGCAAGGGAAGCCAATTGTAACAAATTAGAAGTAACTGTAACAGTGACACCCTACAGAAGCATGGTTACTGCTCTAACAGCACACAGTGGTAGCCTAGCACGGCGAAGGGTCAGTAGTGCTTTCCTAAGGAAGTCTTTAATATGAATCCTAAGAATAAATTAATGCAGCAAAGTAGGAAGGATAAGGAAGAAAGGGTGCTGCAGGCACAGAGGAGCCCATGCAAAGGTCCGGTGGCAGGAAGGATCAAGGCACACTCTAGGTGTGAAAGGAGCCTCTTAGTAGGGTCATTCTGGTTCCTAGTTTTGTTTTTGTTTTTCTTTTTTTTTTTTTTTTTTTGAGACAGGGTCTCGCTATGTAGTTCAGGCTGGTTTTGAACTCACTTTGTAGCCCAGGCTGGTCTCAAACTCACAACGGTCTCCTGCCTCAGGCTCCCAAGGGCTGGGATTACAGGCATGCGCCACCACAGCCAGTGGTCATTCTGGTTCCTGATCTGATCCATGCCCTAGTCACTGTGCTAGTCAAGACAAGCATTAAAGATGTAAGGGCTTCCAAAAAGCACCCAAGAAATTACCTGAGCAAACCAGGACCAGAAGGTGCCTATCTGCTAAATTCTCGCTCTCCCGAAGCTGGCACCAGACATTCAAAGTAGGAGCCACCTTGCCCTCCTTCCCGGTGTAAAAGAAGTCTTAGGGTTCTTATCTCATGTTTTTCTGCAACAGTGGCAACTTGGCTAAAATCAGTGTGGCCAGTGGTACAACTAGGCAACAGTGACAAGAGACGGACAAGTGCGGTTTGGAGGTGTGGATGAGCCTCGTCACCGGAGAAGCCTCCTGCGGATGTCACTGCGGAAAAGTCACACGATTTCACGCCCAGAACACGAGCTCTGCGGCTCAGCGTCCCGACCTGGCCCTCGCTGGCTGCGTGGCCTTGCTCTCCTTCTGGAAAATGGCAGGGCTTCCTCCCTGGGGCCTCAGGAGGTCCGTGACAATCTGGGTCCACACTGAGCACGCTGCCTGGCTCCCAGCAGGCCCTTGATAAGGGATGCCAGTGCCATGACTCCCACCAGGGGGTGGGGACCGCCATGCCTCGCCTTCCATGTGACAGCCAACAGGCGTCCACAGGCACTATCCAGACCACCCAGGGGTCCCAGTGACTCACAGTCTCAGTCTGTGCCCACCAGGGTCCCCAGCCGCTGCGCTGAGACCCCAGAGCCATCCAGAGGCCACTTGGAGGCCTTC